TCCAGGACTTGAACCACACAGTAAGTAAGCCACATGGGATCCAGTGCCTTAACCTCCATGCCACCTGCTGGTCCCAGACACAGTATTTGTTAATGTGCTAAAAGAACAGAACTCTCATACTAGAATAATTTATCCTACAAAAATATCCTTTATTAGTAAAGGGAAATTAAGACATTTGAGATAAAGAAAAATTGCTTCACTCAGACTGGTAAAGTGATAATAACAGTTGATTTGGTGCCAAGAACATCTATTGGGAGAAGCCAATCTCTTCAATAAACGGTGCTGGGAAAACTGAGGGTCCATATGGAAAAGAATGAAGCCAGACCCATATTTCTTACTACATACAAGGATCAACTTCCAAGGGATTAAAGACTTAAAACACAAACCTGAAACTGTGAGGCTACTAGGAGAAAACATAGGGGACACGCTTCAGGGTATAGGTGTGGGCCAAGAGTTCATTAATCAAGCCTCAGAAGCTCAGGCATCACAAGCAAGAATAGACGAGTAGGACTACGTGAAATTCCAAAGCTTCTGCACAGCAGAGAGAGCAATCGACAGCGTGGGAGGACAACCCGCAGAATGGGGGAGTATGTTTGCATATTACTCATTTGACAAGAGAATAATAACCAGAATATTCAAGGGATTCAAACAACTCAGTGGCAAAAACCAAATAACTCAATTTAAAAATGGGCCAATGACCTAAATAAACAGTTCTCAAAAGAAGACATACAAATGGCAAAAAAAGAAAAACATGATTGGCATTACTAATCATCAGGGAAATGCAAATCGAAACTACAGTGAAATATCATCTCACCCTAATTAGGGCAGTTATTATCCAAAAGACCAAAACAAACAAACAAACAAAATTACTGGTGAGGCTATGGAGCAAAGGACCCTCTTTTATACTGTTTATTTGACACTTTCTTTGAAAAAAAAATCCACCTATTAACTTTCAGATTAATTGACACTATATTTGCACTGGAAAATTTATTGATGAGCTACACAACTCAATACTTAAAGTTGGTAAGTTATTTTTTAATTCCTTTGTACATTTCAGATCCTACCAGTTAAGTTGAATGTTTGACAAGGAGTGGTCATACTGGTCAAAACTGTCTTACTTGTAATGATAATGATTTTGTATTTCAATGAAATATTATATAAACTGATGCGGTATGAGTGCAAATGAAAGAGAGTTGCATCTGTCACATAAAGTGAAATGCTTAATGACTTGGCAAAAGCATGTCTCTCAAACATCACCATGGACTCAGGTAAAAATGAAAAGAAATTTGGAAACAAAGAAAATGTGGACTGCTTTCAAATTGTTTTGCAAGTACCCTTAATGTCTCACTTCAAGTACAGTAAAAAACAGAAACGGAAACTGAGCATCCAGAAAGTGCGTTATGGACATGGTTCACTGAGAAAGGCTAGGCAGTCCTCATTCAGCAACTCCTGGAGGAGAAGTGCTTGCCCTCCATGCAGACTGGCAAGAAACGCATACGATGAAGAAATGTCCAATGCCCTCACCATGAGAGATGAAATCGAGACCACAATGAGAGACCGTCTAATCCTAGACAGAATGACGCGGATCAAGTAAATGTGTACGTTTTAAGCTGTCATGAAATGATAAGAACAGGTATGTAGGTATTATTTGTTATTATTTCTTGTTTAATTTTTTCAAATAGCTAACCAACTACCTGCCAAATGTAATTGATTATAAAGTTCCTACTGCATTGACCCTTCTTCTTACTCTTCTCCTTTCTCATCTATTCAAACAACAACCAGACTGCCCATATGTGCTCCAGGAAATTTCCTACAGGAAGTTGCAGACAATGTAAGTTTTATCAGAGCAGATGTCATTTCCTTAAAGATAGGACACTTTAGAGAATAAGGAAGATTTTAGGCCTTTTGGCTGGATGTTATTACAGGGGTTGGCCTTATTTAGTAGACAGCAAACTGAGCTGACCTTACTGAAGATTCCAGAAATAAGGAAAAGATCAATAAATCTGACATGCCCACTCTTCCCCACGGGGAGGGGAAGCAAGCTAAAAACAAAGGGGAAGTGGAAAACGGAGCCCAGCCAAGATTACTGTGCCAAGAGCGAGGTCCAAAGATGCCACGCCCACCACAGCTCCCAGAATGAGGACTAGCCAGTTGGTGTGAGGGGGTGGGTGCAGACGCTACTAGCCAGATGCCCAGAGGACGCGGAGGGAACCAGGCTAAGGTGAACAGCGCCAAAGCAAATGACAGCTGTGCTCACGTTTTCCAGCCAAGGTGCCGAAGCTTCTTGCATCCGAAATGCCAGCACCGCATCTAAAATGGACGGTGGTGTCATTAAGTAGTCACAGTAGCCTTCATTCCAGAAGATGCGCGCTGACTGCTCTCTCGGGAAGGGCGCTCCGGATGACCTGGGACGAGTTCCCACGGCTCTCGCCCCCCAGCCTCTCTCCAGCTGTGGCCTCGCATGCCTCCCTTTCCTTTTCCTCTTAGACTCAGCCATTATCCTAGCCCAAAGCAGGTTATTCAAAGAGCATGCTAATGTTCCCTCCATGGAGAAATAAGAACGCAGTTACCGCGGCTCTGCCGCCACGTGTAGTGTAGTCGGTGCCTCAGAGAGATGCTGGCCGAGCGAGGGCACCGGGTTATCGTGGTTTGGTTTATTTCCCGTTCTGTTGGGTTCCACGCTCCTCCTTCTGCACGGAACAGTGCTGAGAAGAACGAGCATCCATGCTTCCTTTCTTCACTCCTTGCAAGCTCTTTCAGCCACTGTCCCCAGCCCGATTCTCAGCACCAGCCCGCCCTGCCCTCAGGTGACAGCAGGAAGTGGTGGGGAAAGGCTGAGGCCCTGCCAGCCAGACTCAAGGAGGAATCCCGCTGTTTACCTCCTAAGGAGACACACCCCTCTCCTCTCTGCAGGGCGTCCTGGTCACTGGGGGCGCTCGCTCGCGGAGTGGCCACAGGGACGCTGGTGCAGAAAGCCAGCTGTACTCTTGCACACCAGCAAAGCGGGCACTCCTCGTTTGCACTTACACGTGGCTGTGCACACTCCGCCTTGTCTTTGGAAACAGACATTCTAGTTCAAGACTTCCTTTTAGTAATATTGATGAACTGCGAACACCCAAGTGACATTGGCATCACTGTTTTCCATTTCACAGGAAACTGAGGCTCACAAAGGGACACGAATGTCACCGCGTGGAACATGAACATAGAAACTGAGCTCACGCTGGCAGTTCGCACCTGACGGTCAGCAGTGACATCAGGGGTGATCATTCCACAAACGTGCGTGAGGCCCGGGGGATTTAATTTTGCGTTTGTTACGAGAGAAAATAGGAAATGAAACGTATAATGAAAGAAACAGACTATAGAAACCTGTGATCTGAACAGTCAGAAAAATGGGGTAAATTCATCAGCCCCAAAGAGAGCTCACGCACACAGGAGTCCAGCGTCTGGTCTGGGCAGACCAAGGCCAGGGTCAGGAATAAATAGGGAGGCTGGGGCAGGCTGCAGAGTGACCCGAACCAGGAAGAGGACACGCGGGAGGAGCCAGGGTGGACAGTCCAGGTGACTGGGGAGGTTCTAGCTCTCACTCAGTGCCGGGTGCAGATTAGCTAGCTGCTTTAGCATAATGTGGGCATTTTCAGTGTTTGTTTCCATTTTACAGAGAAACTTAAAAGAAGTAAAGAGAAAGGCAGTAGGAGGGAAGATAAGTGATAAACAGAAAGTAAAGATGGGCAGGTAAAGTGAAATTCGGTGGGGGCCGTTGATAGAAGAGCTAATCTCTACAATCTCGAAGGTTCGCTGGAAGTCACTGTGATGAATCCCTCCCTGGAAGACGATGCCTAGAAGCTTTGAGAGAGTGTCTCCCACACAGCGCGGCCCCAGCAGTTACACATCTCAGGAAAGCAGAAGTTGCAGTCGACCTTGTAGATCAGCACATGGACGTCACCCATCGGTTTGCTGAAAACGGAGACACCTGAGGGAGGGGACTCTGGTCACCAGGAGATGCAGAGACTCCTTGGCGTGTTACTGCCGGGAAGACCAGGCTCTGTCTAAACTAGGAGTCAGTGGGAAGAAAGCTCTGAGCTCGGATCTGGCAGAGGAGAGGGAATTCACTCATCACCACACGGTGTTTTGCCAGAGCTGGGCTGTGCAAAGGAGGGCGCAGGGACTGGGGCAGGTCACCGGTTGAATCCAGCTGACGCGTAGGTGTGACTCTCCCAGACCCTTTAGGAAGGAATTTTAGAACAAAGAGAATGTGGGCAGAGTTTACTTCTCAACCCGGAACATTTTAAGTGAGTAACCGAAAGGGGGAAGATGTCAGTGTCACTGTCAGGAGGAGCCCAGGCGAGTGTGTGAAGAGCTGTACCTCACTGACTGACCACTAGGAGCTGTCCCCAATCCCCCCTCCC